TATAGCAATGATGCTAACCTTTGATATTACACTGATGTGTTCAATACATTGTGAGCAATGTTTTACATGTTGGCAGCTGATAAAATGGTGATGGAAAAAATCGGTGCTCATTATTTTTATTGTTACAGTGTAATTTATCTGATAGATATAGATATTGCATAAATTACTAAAATTATTCAAAAATCACTATCCTTCAAACCATAATATTTTAAACTTTATATTCCTCTATAGATCATGTATGAGATGATTAATAAATAAGCCTGTAAAGTTATAATGTTTAGTTTACCATTTGATCATTTTAGCCTTTTGATTGTTTTTTCCAGTTTTTCTGCTTTTAGCTAACCATTTGATACTTTTAGCTGGCCTTTTGCTGCTTTTATTAACCTTTTTGATACTCATGCCTAAGGCTAATTTGATACTTTTACTAMTTTATTCTTTTAGCTAGTATTTTGATTATTTTAGCTAGCCTTTTGCTGTTTTATTTATTTATTTATTATTTTATTTTGCTTTTGCTGTTTTAGCTAAATTTTTGATTTTTTTATCTAGCCTTTTGTTGKTTTTAGTTAACCTTTTGATACATTTATCTAACCATTTGGCTAGCATTTTGATTATTTTAGCTAGCCTTTTGCTGCTTTSAGTTAACTTTTCAGTACTTATGGCTAACCATTTTATTCTTTTAGCTACCCTTTAGCAATTTTGAGCTAACATTTTGATAGAATTGCTTGATAAGAATCAGTTAAATTAATTTAAGTTCTGTAATTAGTACTGTAGTTGACAAAAAAGGTAATAGTAAACCATTTTTTCCTAACTGCTGCCCTGTAAACACTTTTTTGCTCGTTTTTTTTTAACTCAAATTGTTTTTTGTCACCTAAAATAACTTAATTTCTTCATCATCAGTGACTTCTTTACTAATTGTTTTTGTAACATGATTTAAAATGTCTGAAAATAACATTCAGACAAGAGGAAATATGGTTTCAATAAGCGAACAGTTTGATCAGAAACAAATCCGTTTGCCGTTTACCAAAACATTTCAAAAACATGTCAGATTGATTATTTGACAGCAGGTTTTATCAGTGGATAGAAAAGAGAGTCTGTATAAGAACAGAAAGMGGTTTGTTGTTCAGTGAAAACAAACTGACGTTATTTCACATTTTCACCCCAAGCTTTTCAGAGAATAATGTGTGTGTTGACCCAAATGGAAGAAATCACTTATCGTGATCATGTACAAGTCTTAACCACTGAGTTGAAACAGAAATTATATGTTTATTCAAAAATTAGATCCAATCTGACATCTTCTGTTWCAAATATCTATCTTCATGCCATTATACTCTCAATCATGTCGTACCTGTTTGGTCTCTTACAACAAATGAAATCTTAGAACCCATAGGCTCTACAACAGGGACTACAAAATTCATAAAAAACTTCCTGGTTGGACTCATCACTGTACAGTTCTTTCATTGTCTGATGCCTTGACTTTTCAGAATTAAGTTTTGTATAGTGGTATTAATTTATATTTTCAGATCTTCCAAGGTGCCAATTATGGAACTCTCTGTGCATTGTTGCCCAAATCAAATTCTGGAAGTGGTCATTCAACTAGATCTGTTACAAAAGGACAACTGATATTACCAACTTTTAAAAACTGTTACGGCCAGAGGTCTTTCTTCTYTGTTTATACTAAAGCATGGAATGACATTCCTCAAAACATAAAGTCCATTTCAAAACTGCAGCCCTTTAAGAAGAATCTTGTCTGCCATCTGCTGGACACTTTTTGTTGTGCTCATATTTAGACGTCCGATTTTGCAAATGCTGCCTTTTTGAAATTTGGTATGCTTGTTTGTCTTTGTGTCTATGGTGTAATAATAATGATGTGATTGTGATGCTGTAATTCTGAGTGTTTTATGTGCTGCAGAACAGGAACCTGCTGTAAAACAGCAATTATGCTGAGTCYGGCTTGATTTTTAATAATCTTTTCCTGTTAAATATATAAATCAAATCAAATCAAATCAAAGAGTATACTAATAATCTAGAGCACACCACAAATGGGGGATAAAAATATTTTCTAAATTTTTGTCAGAGTATAGTTGATTTAGTCTGTAGAATAATTACTGGTTTATGAAGTTAACTTGTGGATTTTTCAGCTGTTTTGTTACTACATGAGGTTATATGGTGCAGAGGATATTTCATAATAAAAGTATCATATGATGCCATCAAGACTTAACTACTGATGCTCAGAATGTAAATAGAAAACAAAACAATAATGGAAGTTTTAGTTATGATCTCAGATAAAGTCAGGTTAAAGTTTTCATTATTCTACTTTTATAAAATGTAGATTTTATGTTGTTTTATTGATCCCAACAATTTAGTAAAAAATGCTCTTCAAATAACTGGAAAATGCACGATATCTTGCCTAGAGCACCAAATTTATAGGTACAAAATGATACATAAAAATTGTAGGACAACACTGACAGCTGCTTTACAAATCAAGTCTTATTTTTTTCCAGGAAAGTCTTCCTTGTTTCAGCATAACGTCTAATCTCCTCTTTGTTTACAGGATAAAACACCAGCTATGACAAACTATCCTGTCAGTCACTGCAAACATTTATAAAACAGTGGAATTAGAAGTTTGTCATATTTAGAAGTAGTATTTTAGGAGCTAATTTATGATATTCTAAGCAGTGACAAATGACCTCAAATTATCTAAAAAGGGATCTTCCCAGAATTAAAGGCCACAAAGATGGTGAGAAATGTTCTYGAGCTCCTGCTGAGAAATCACCTTTGAGCTGGAGAAAATATGAGCAGAAGAAATGATGAGTAGAAAGAATGCAGGCCTGGATAGTTTATGAACAGTTTTATGGACTCAGTTTCTTTCAGAAGGGCCTTTATAGCTTTCTTTATAARGAGTAACATTAACTCCTGAAGGCTTCTTTAACAACTGGAAATGATGGTAGCTATACAGAGAATTTAGGGATGTTTTACAGCTGAGTGGCTGGCACATCTATAGAGAACAAAGGAAGATGCTTGCAATAAAAAAAGACACACAATTCCAGACAATAGGTTMGTTTCCTAGAATAAATGTTGACTGTAAGCTGAGCAAACACAATCCAGTTCACCACAATGACCTCCCACGATGTGTTTAGACCAGCAGAGTTCTGCATATTTTACAGAAGATTTGCAAACCCCAAACAACATCCCTGGCATGCAAAAAAAGCCCCACATTTTCCTGGTATTTTCTTCATCATTACACAGCTTCTCTGTGCAGCCCCACTCTGTACAGGAGCACAGTATGTTCAACTCCTATTCAGAGTTTTTCCAGTGTTCCCAGCCACTCCTTCCCTCGACCTGTCAATCACAGATCATGATTGAGCCGAACAGTCAGTCAGCAAAACAAAGTGAGGCCTCATCCCCCCACCCCTTAAGCTTTCAGGTTCTTCCATCAGCACATTTTACTCTTCCAGTGTGGAAGACACACTAACCAGGATTTAGGAGGGTTCATGATGTCATAAGGTCAGGCTGCTTAAAGCTCAAAGGAAAAAGGTCTAAAACAAAGCAAAATAAGTCTGATTTAACAGGACTCTTTAAGTGGCTGATGAATAAACATGAAGAGAGTTGGGGCAGGAACTGAATGGGGGCATGATAGAGGCCTGTCCTGTGTGTCTGTGTAAGAAGGGGGACGTATAGATCTACCCCCTCTCCCCCAGCAGGTCTGCATCACGTTTAATTGGAGCACTTGTGGCACCATTACCTCCTTTCCTCAAACACGTTACTGATGACAAAAGAAAACAGTGCTAAGCCTGCCTTACTGCAGACACTGGATCAGGCTCCTCTCTGTTTCTATGTGGGAATCATCTGTATGACATTTTGACAGAAAGCATTTTACAAGCAGCGACACAAAATGATCATCAGAGCTGCGCTCACGTGTAGGAAGAAGAGGTTTTAATCAAATTATTAGCTAAACATAATGCTAAAATGTTAAATCAAATTTCTTGATTATGAAGAAAAAAGTAACAAATATCAGAATATTATAAAAGGACTGATTACAGGGTCAGTTTTTGTGCTTTTTTTTGTGACATTTTGACCAAATCAGCAGGACAAACCTGGATTATAGTTTTAGTTTTCACAGTGATAGTATCAAAGGTGTAACTTTTCTCCTCAGCCTTATTCCACTGAAGAGAAAATGCTACATGGTTCCAAAACCAAATAATCTTTTTAGTTTGTAACAAAAGGCAAATAGATTTCAAAGCATTTATATGAAATAAAATGTGATCAAACGTGAAGTTCTTCCTGGTGTAATAAAATCACAAGAAGTGCAAAATGTGCATTTACAACTTTTATTCATTCAAAAATCACAGGCATTAACAAAGTCTTAAGACAGTATTACACACACACACACACACACACACACACACACACACACACACACACACACACAC